TTGAGAGGCCCCAGGAAGCGCCGTGATCTTGGCGGGAACTAGGATGTATATAAGAGTTGCGGACTCATGCATTGCCTGCCTCATTTTCGATCTGTTTTGACCGCCGAGTCGCGGTGCTGCCTCAACCCCCTTGATTTGGACCCACCGAGTAGTCCTTTTATTATTCACTTAACTGTTCATTTGATTTGTCGTTTATTTCATTGTAAAGCATTTGGTTAATAAATTGTTGTCGTAAACACTGTCTTTCTTGTGCTCACGAAAACTGTCACTGTCGGTGTCATACTTGATCGAATCACCGGGAACACATCCGGTACATGGGGGCCGAACCGATCAAGTCGAATCGATTGTGACTGGCTGCGTGGTAGCACATAGAAGACAGAGAACGGTCAAAGGGGACCGCATAAGCCGAACTGGAGAACCAGCGTGGGGGAAGTTTGAGAATCGCCGACAAGTGATCAGGAAAGGCGACCCCCAGCTCCATATTGATAGAAGCTGTTCAGATAGTGAACAGCAGGAGTCAGACCAGGGACGCGAAGTAAGCCGTCCAAGGGCTGGTAGAGGAGGCGAATCAAGCAGGGATTCGCCGGGAACTTTCGAGAAAAGGTGATCTCTTGTTGGCTAGGGGCCAAGAGAGGGAACCCCAAGAGGGCAGGGACGCAGAGTAAGCCGTCCAGGGAAGTGAGAAGCCTTTACAAGAGTGAGGTGTAAGGCGGTACACTGTGTTTTGTGGTGTTCATTATTGCGTGTTATCGATCGATATCGTCGCGATAGAGCTCGGCGTCGTGATATTGATCGAAGTAACATTGTCTATTGCAGAATAAGTGAAGAAGATGGAGAACCGCCGCGAGGGCGATGTTGATGAGAACGGTCCGCCTCAGGTTAGTGATCAAAGATTTGAGGTTAAGCGGATAACAGATGAGTTGGATAAGGTGGGAGATGAGGTTAAGCAGTTACCGTTACGGGTTGAAGAGGAGCTATCGGAGGCACGTATAGCCGGGAAGTATAGAAACCAGTTGATGGAAATTTTGTACAGCCATACTAGCCGGGCATGTACAATGTTGGAGGACATAAGAGCGAGTGTGGTAGGGCATGAGATGTTTGGCAAGGACCTGTTGCAGACGCTTCAGGATAAGGGGATAGAAAGTATGGAGGATCTGAATGAGTATATTAGTGTGACAGAAAGGGATGGTGAATTATTAGCAGTAATATGTGACATGTTTCAGACTGATGTCGACGCACATACGTGGAGTGCTGAGCGAAGATCCAGGCTTCGAGGAGGAACATTCGAAGCAGCAACGAGCTCAATGGAGATGAAGAAAAGATGGACACCGAGCACGATGAAGGTCGGTCAATGGATAGGAGTAACAGGATAGCTCTTTCATCAAACAGAGACTTTGTTCAGATTCTGCCACGGAGAAGTCGGACGTCACCGATTGGAGCAGCTTACGCGCCAGCCTCGAGGCAGCATTCGGAGATATCGGGACGACAAAGCGGCACATCAGGTCAGGATGCCTTAAAC